TGTTGCGCTCTCTGCCTTGCTTAGGGCGAAAATTGAGATCGTTGGGGGAACAAAATCCTGAAAGATACATTTTAAAATCCGGGAATACCCTTTCAAAAATATTTCATATTTAGGAAAATAATTAAGATTGTTTTCTGTTACAAAAGGTTTTTTTTTTTTTAGAAGTTTTAATAGATTTGAAAATTTAACCTACTGTACCTTTTATCTTAACAAAAAGGTTCCACTGTACCTTGAGCAGCACATAAACACTCATTTGATTTTCTTTTCTATTCCTTTGACTCCAGTGAGTGAGTGAAAAAGCACAATGAAGATGCAAAGGAGACAGTTTGCTAATCATGAGGTTTCTTCACAGTTGTTGCAAATTCTGTCTCTGCCACTGCCTCTGCCGCATTTGACGTCGGCAGCGCTGCTGTCATGAAGTAACTTCTTATGCTCGTTTTTACAGTTACTGTTAAAGTAAAATCTTTTTTTAATTTATTTTCTTTTTTTCCGCCGTCGCTGAAGGATTTATATTGCCAGAACTTTTATGGCTCTTATCGATTTGCTCCGAATGAAAAACCGTCCCTTCGAGCTATGGCCCAAAATTAATGATGCCCCCTGAGTGAGCAATTTAATTAAAAATGCTAAGTCCCTCGAAATGATGTGGTGATGTTTAGACAAAGTTGTGCTCTTTCGCCAGCGAAACCTTTCTTATCGATGGTTTCCCCTTAGTTATGCCTGCACTTGACGTCACGATTGCGGCGGTTTTATTAATAAATCATTATTATCTATGTGCTTAATTATTACGAAGTTACGCAGTTCAATGGACTTTGTATTATAGGGATATATGGATTTGGGATTATATATTATAGGATATATTTCTGGAGATTAATACTTCTTTAGTTTTCAATCAAACAAAATATATAAAATAATGAAAATTTAAATTAAATTAAATTAAAAACAAGAAAGGAAACAAACTTCGGGAAGCCGAAATTTGTATACCCTTGTAGTTTGCCATAGGATCTGTCATCCAATGAAAAATCTATCATAACTAAGCCAAAAAAGCATCGAATTCAATTCGGAAAGCTTTTCTGTGATAGTTTTTCCCAGATAAACAAATCTGCTTACTAAATTTCACATTTTAAGATATTAAAATTTTTGCTAATTTTTTCTGTGACAATGAACCATTTTAAGACCCCAAAAATACAAAAAAAAAAATTAGGAAAATGTTTTTCTTCTAAACATGGCTAGATTGACTCCGCTTTTTGAGCTGATCAAGAATATATATGATTTATAGGGTCGGAAACGACTCCTACACTGACTACAATCATAAAACCCCTCAAGAAGATCTTAAATATTCACTGTCTTTAAATGAATATTTTTATATATTTTAAATGGTAATTTTTTTTATAAAAAATAATCATAACTAAGCCAAAAAAGCATCAAATTCAATTCGGAAAGTTTTTCTGTGCTAGTTTTTTCCAGATAAACCAATCTGCTTACTTAATTTCACATTTTAAGACCTCAAAAATACAAAAAGAAATTATGAAAAATGTTTTTCTTCTAAACATGGCTAGATCGAATCCTCTTTTTGTGCCGATCAAGAATATATACGATTTATAGGGTCGGAAACGACTCCTACACTGACTAAAATCATATAAACCCTTCAAGAAGATCTGAAATATTCACTTTCTCTAAATGAATATTTTTATATATTTTAAATGGTAATTTTTTTATTAAAAATAATCATAACTAAGCCAAAAAAGCATCAAATTCAATTCGGAAAGTTTTTCTGTGCTAGTTTTTTCCACATAAACCAATCTGCTTACTTAATTTCACATTTTAAGATATTAAAATTTTTGCTAATATTTTCTGTGACAATTAACCCATTTTAAGACCTCAAAAATACAAAAAGAAATTATGAAAAATGTTTTTCTTCTAAACATGGCTAGATCGAATCCTCTTTTTGTGCTGATCAAGAATATATATGATTTATAGGGTCGGAAACGATTCCTACACTGACTAAAATCATAAAACCCCTCAAGAAGATCTTAAATATTCACTGTCTTTAAATGAATATTTTTATATATTTTAAATGGTAATTTTTGTATTAAAAATAATCATACCTAAGCCAAAAAAGCATCAAATTCAATTCGGAAAGTTTTTCTGTGCTAGTTTTTTCCAGATAAACAAATCTGCTTACTAAATTTCAAACTTTAAGATATTACAATTTTTGCTAATTTTTTCTGTGACAATTGAACCTATTTAAGACCTCAAAAATAAAAAAAAAATTAGGAAAAATGTTTTTCTTCCAAACATGGCTAGATCGACTCCGCTTTTTGTGCTGATCAAGAATATATATGATTTATAGGGTCGGAAATGACTCCTTCACACACTTTTGACTTAAATTATAATACCCTGCAAGGGTATAAATATATATGTTTTTAAAATCTCTAAAAAATAGAGTGTCACATTATTATTTGTTATCCAAGTTCCCGTGAAAAATCATTCATTTTCCGTTTCCGCAAACATCTCAGTTCGTGATTACGTGGGTTTTCAGCGTTTGAAGAGCTGTATTTCCGTGCCATTTGACACCGCCTACCTCAATGGGTTAACTAAGTTCTGTTTTCTAATTAAATGCGGCGATAACAATAACAATATTAGCGAAGAACAGCAAACAAATCGCTCGCCTCTAATTTGACCTTTTTTTGGTTGCTCTCTCCGTCTCGGTCTCTGTCACTCAGTCAGTTCAGTTACTAATCACTCAGAGTGCTTAACAGAAGGAACTTACTCTCTCTCTCAGCACACTCACACTTTCTCATCACTTCCCTCCCACCTGTGGTGGTGGTGGTGGTGCGCCCGCCGCTGTCTCGCTCATTCGCACTCGCCGCTCACTCACTCGCTCGCCCAGCGCTCCCACCCACTGTCGCTCCCGCTCGCACCTGCTTCTATTGCTGGGCGCCTGTTACTTGGTTCGGCCAAACCGCCGTTCGTTTGTATGCGAGCTATGCTTCCTTTTCACTCGAACGACGCGAGTAAAGTCGCGCTGGCGTTTCGTTTCCGAATTGCTCGATTTTCGACTTTGGCCAGCAAGGAAATGACAGCGCAAACCTGTTTTCAGTTTCCACTGCAGCCGAGGAGGAGTTTGAGTTCGAGTCTGAGTCTCAGTCTGAGTTCGAGTTTGTGTTTAGGGTCTTGGCTTAGCCATCTCATCTCGCCCGTTGTTTACAGCTTAATTTGCCTGCAACTGCCCGGTGCGTTCCGCCTTCCCCGAGTGCCCACGTGCCATGTACAGTGGAGCATCCCAAGGGGAAATCATAAAAACATTACTTTGAATAAATTAATGATTAAATTTTAGATATAGAATTTTTTATTGATTATTAATTTTAGATAGAGACAGTCTCTACTGTCGAATAATATATTTAGTACGTAATTAAATTCCACAAGAAAAAATGTGTGAAAATAATGAGAAATTTAAGGAATTAATTAATTTATGGTCATGCAATTTCGATCTAGACAAGATAACCTATGCAGTCGTCGTCGCTTTGTTCGTCGGTTGTCGTCATTCGTTATTCGGATTTTCGCTCGACCCAACGACCGTTGACTCTTTTTTCGAGCACTGAACACTGAACAGTGAGTACAGAGCACTGGAAATGCTCGGCACTCAGCTCGGGCAGCAGATTGCTCCAGCACCTCCGTACTCAAACTCAAATCCCCCCAAAGCGAAACTCAAACTCCGGTGCGAACGGCTCCGTCCATCCATCAGTCATTCATTCAACAGACGCGGCGCAGGCCAGTTGAGTTTGTCAGTCTCTCTCTCCACTATTCATACTCCCCCTTTTTTGCCGCCTGCTTCGTTTCTCCACTGTCTTTGTTTTGTTCTCCGTTCGTCCGTTGCTCCGTTTCGCCGTTTCTCGCCTTTCAAAGGCACGCGAATGCGAATATGTGTATAAGAAAACGCGCAACGGCCGCTCGCGTTTTGCCAGCGATTAATGGTTTTAATCAGCTTCGCTTGACACACTGAGCGAAAAATAGGCTCAAAAGATACATTTCTTAAATTTTAAAATGATCATTTTAGTATTTTACTAATTGATGAACTAAACTAGAGATCAATGAAGTAAAGGCAATCGGTGAATATTCACAAATATAAAATATCCACGTTGAAAATATCTTTATTGAATTGATTTGATTTTATTGTGCTGTATTTTTTCAAGTGTTTCTTAAATTTTGTAATGTAAAGAATTTTTTATGATTTTTAAACGTAATCATCTATTTAATATAGTTCATTTTGTTCAAGTGTACGTGCTTATTTCTCTTATCACTGAGATATTTTCTCTGTAAATTGCAACATTCGATTATTATTTATACAGAAGTATGAATATAATGAGTGCTGATTTTGCAAATTTGATCTGCATTTTATATCAAGCAGAAGATCAAGTTTTTCAGTGTTTGTTTATTATCTGTCAAGACAAGGTTGAACATCATAATCAATATATTCATTTTCGGTTTCCCTAAAGTCTTTTTCAATTGTTTTATCTACATTAAAATAATCTTTTTATTTTTCTCAGTGTTTATACAGTCTAAAAAGTCTTTCTAGGGGGATTTTTTTTTTTGTTGTCGTATACCGTCCGGTTGCATTGTTTTTATCAGTTCTTCGAAGCATTATTCGTCGACATTATTTTGTTTATAATTTGTTGTGGTTTCTTTTACACTCAAAACGTAGTTAAATCTGTTTGTATTTGTATTGACATTACTCATACGCTCTCTTTTTCAGTGTGTTCTTATCAGTTGTTTCGTATTTAGTTTTGCTTCCAGAACCGAATCCATAAATCGCCGAATTTCTAATAAGAATTAAAGCGTAGAAATTGAACTCATAATATGACCTTGAAACAGATAGGGAAATGAAAATCTTTAGAAAGTTCTAGGGATTTTTGAAAAATTATATATAAATGTAATATTAAAAAAATATTTTGTTTCCTTAGAATATAACTAATACATTTCCTAATTCTCTTGATTTCCAGGACTTGCCACAAGATGTTGACTCGGCCTTTTTGTGGCTACTTCCACCTGCCTGAGTAGCTTCGATATTCCTCTACGTAGACGCAGGCACTTCCGGATACTACCAAATAGCTATCAACAGAAGCAGCACTGCCAGTTGTGGAAGCCAGATATTAGACGGTTATATCAGATATAGACAAGAGATCAATATATATATAAATATATATATTCGCCGCCGACGTCGACGCCTTGTTCTTCGCGATTTCGTCGCCGTCAGCGTTCGCCGCCGACTGAGACGAAAGCTGCGAAGCAACGAGCGCCAGCGAAAGCCTCACCACGGACGCATTTATGGATGCGGGCGGCCTGCCAGTCTTCCAGAGCGCCAGCCAAGCAGCCGTCGCCCAGCAGCAGCAACAGCAGCAGCAGCAACAGCAACAACACCTGAATCTCCAGTTGCACCAGCAGCACCTGGGCCTTCACCTGCAGCAGCAACAGCAGCTGCAACTGCAACAACAACAGCAGCAACAGCACAATGTCCAGGCGCAGCAACAGCAGCAGATCCAAGTGCAGCAGCAACAACAACAGCAGCAGCAGCAACAGCAACAACACTCGCCCTACAATGCCAATCTGGGAGGAGGAGGCGGCATTGCTGGAATCCCTGGCGGCAACGGAGCTGGCGGCCCTGCAAATCCTGGAGCGTTACCCTCGGCACCCGGCGAGTCCGGAATGCCAGCCAAGAGGCAACCCATCGTTGACAGGCTGCGACGCCGCATGGAAAACTACCGGCGGCGTCAGACGGACTGTGTGCCGCGTTATGAGCAGGCATTTAGCACCGTTTGCGAGCAGCAGAATCAGGAGACCACCGCCCTACAGAAGCGCTTCCTTGAGAGCAAAAACAAGCGGGCGGCCAAGAAGACAGACAAAAAGCTGCCGGATCCCTCACAGCAGCAGCAGCAGCAGCAACAACACCAGCAGCATCAGCAGCAGCAACACCAGCAGCATCTTCAGCAGCACCAGACCATGTTAGCCGGACAGCTGCAGAGCAGTGTTCATGTGGTGAGTCTTTTTATTATTTTTTAAGTGAAATTTAGAGAATTTATTAAGAAGTTGAACCTGAAGAGGCAGCAATCCCCAAAGACAAGGATCTATTTATAAATTCAAGTCTAAAAACCCATATTCTTGCATTGACATTTCTTGTGTCACCCTTTAAGATATAGATTCTCCCGCATTTGGTCTTGTGAAATCGTCTCAGAAATTCAGAAAGACTTGGGAATTATCTTGTCGAATGCAAATCGCATCCAGCAGATACGCGACTTTTGCGACGGTGGGTATATCTCATCAATGCGCGGCAGTTGCCTCACATTAGAGCTGGTGCAGCTTTTTGTGGGCCTCAAAAGAGCAGAGAAATAAATACGAAGCCAACAATCCAAGCGGAGAATGCACGTACATACAGACATATGTACAAACTATACAAATATATATACACAAAATAATAATGAGGTCAGCGATTTTTTTTCCGTGTGTATACGCGAGTGCGCTGTGCTGTATTTTATATTTTTTTCTGTTTTTTTTTTGTGTTGTATTTGTACTCTTTCGGTTTTCAGTTCAGTTTCACGAACTGCGCCGCCGACTTGTAGCTACAAGATACAAGATACATTTTGCTGTAGCTACAAGCAATTGCTGTTGCTTGTGTGTAGGTACTACTTAGCTGACTTTTTGACGTTCCTTTGGCTGCATTTGAAAATACCTAAATACCCACCTTGAACAAAAGGCAACCGCAAAAAAAAAAATAAATATATAAAGCTGTGTTTTTTCTTTTTGCGCAAATCAAAAGATTTTTTTCTGAGTGATGCAAGCCGCGCGAATCTCGACAACGGCCTCCGTTCTCTCTAGCTTATATAATTGTTGGCTCCGTCAACTTGTAATTACCAGACGCAGCTCGAACTCGAAACTTGGATTCTGAAGCTGCAGCTGAATCTGAATCAAGCTCTCGGACTTGGAGTTTTCTATTTCTTTTATCTGAGCGACATATATATGTACATACACAGAGCACTTAGAACGTGAGTTATTCCGAGATCGGTTTTGAGTGGAAAAGTTTTTCCGCATCCGCCTGGCAAAGCCATTTGTCGCCCCTCCTTTACCCATCAGCACGTAATTATTCATTGCTGCCGATGATTTGTCCCCTTCATTTGAATTCTTTTTGTATGCAAAAAGTTGTTTCAATTCGGCCTGCAGCTAAGGATGAGGTTGTAGTCGTCATAGCTTAGGTAAAAATAACTTTTTAAGGAAGTAGTTATTCAGAAGGGTAGCTGCTTTGAGTTCTAGGGTTAGCAAATGGGTGTTTTTTATGCGAAACTTAATTAAAATATGAAATTATAAACTTTATCAAAAGGTTTTGAAATGGAATGTTCCTCTGGGTTATTTATCATTTGTTTTTTAATATTTAAAGAGGGGTTCTAAAGAATAATCAATGATAACAGAGCTTTAAACAATGATTATTTACCAATCTTAAGCTCATTGGATTCAAGAATTACATATCATAGCTCTAGAATTTTAAAGAAATCTTATTTGAAAACCCCCAAAAACAATGCCTAAAAGTATGCAAAGAAAGGCTTAAAAGTACAAATCAACCTTTTATTATTCTTCCACCATAAGCTAGAGTTTACTTTTATTTAACTGTATAATGTATAAACATAAACAGTATAAATAAATAGCCAAATCAATTCCAGTTTTAACTGCTTTGTAAATCTCCGGAATAATTAATGTCGAAACTCTTGAAATTACTTTCCATTCGACGGGTGGCATCTCTCGAACGTATTTAATAATCAATGCATTGCAATGTGGAGAGGGAGCGGTTAATCTAAGTTCGCTTTTCACTTTTCATTTCTTTTATTTTGCTGCTTTTACTGTTTTGGAAAACTTTTACTGATTGTTGTGTGTGGTGCAGCGGCGGCGGCGGCGGTTGCCGGTGAAAATCGCTGGAAATTGCGGCCAGCAGCAGCAGCAACAATTGCCATCCTCGTAGCCGGTGCAACATGCAAAACAAGAAAGCAACATCGCCGGCAACAAACATATTGTTTATAATGCGTTGTAGTGTTTTTGTTTTTAGTTTATTTGGGAAAGTCGCGTGTTGCAATTTCTTCTTCTGACTGCACTTTTTCCTCAGTTTTATTGGCTTCGTCTCTTGGTCTTTTTTGTTGTATTTCATTCATTGTTGCCAATTTTCACTTCACTTTGGGTCGTGTGGCATTTTCTGACAGCCGTCAGTCAGTCAGTCAAAGTCTCGAAGCGCAGTCAACAAAACAAAAAAGTTGCATGAGCGATCTGCTCAGCCCCTCCCTCTCTCTTAGGACCCCCCGCCTGTCCACTGATTTTCCTCGCTTTTCCAACCCCCCCCAAACCTCTCCAAGTAGATTGTTGTTTGTTTCAAGTGCTTCTGTTGTTATACCCTGACAAAGGGGTATTATAAGTTTTGAAAAAGAAAATTTAGTAGGGCGTCTTTGATATAAATAAAATTAATATTAGAAAAATTAACAGTAAATGTAATGAACGTTCCTGATGTGCACCTTAAATTTCTGTTATTGACACTGGTCTGGCAATAAGTGCCGTGTTATCGTAAAATTAAATGATTATAGAAGCATCTTAAGCTGTTTTGGCACTAGAAAATATGTAATTTCTTATTCACTGGACTCTTATACGTTCGGAAAGTGCTGTTAAGCACCTTAATAATGCTGTTATGTATATTAATAATGCTGTTATGCACACTTAGTTCATCTTGAAATTAAAAAAAATTCTAAAAGAAACACTAAATGCATGTTAAAGATATAAGTGAAAGTGCTTTTATGCCCCCAATTGATTTATAAAAACATATATAAAATATATAAACCTTGTAAATAACTGGCAAGAGTATACAGTTAAAGGCTTGTCGGTGCCACCTTATTTTCTCCCTGTTGATGTTTTCGTTGCTGTTGCATCTTGATTGACAAGTGACAACATATTATTGGCGTATCGTTGCAAGGCTTAGGAGATTGGTTGTTGTTTTCGTTGTTGTTCGGTTGTTGTGGTTGCATTGCCATTGTTTATTGTTTATTACTCCTGCAAAAGTCTCCTACCGTTGGGCGTGTTCCGAAAATTTGACTAAATTAAACATGAGTTGGGGGTAATTTATATATATTTTGGTAGTTAAGGTGATATATCTTCAAGATACATTTTATGATCTTGGCTTAATACTTTTTATATATTTTTCACCTTATTTATTTATTAAATAATTTATACAAAATACCTTTAATACTACGACTTTATTCAGTAATTGAAGATTTAAAATTTTTAAAATAATATCCCTCCATAAAATCCCATCTTAAAAATATATTTATTGCCTTGGCTTGGCTCAATGTTTAATTTACCGCGCATTATTTTCCAAGACCTCCTGCTTCTTTCCTCTTTCTCTGGTTCGAACTTGTCGACAATTTATGTATTTTAAACATTTTACACATTTTTGTTAAATGCATCATTTATCTTCCAAGTTTGCCAGAGCGAGAAGCTACGGCAAAGACTGAAAATTGTAACCTCCCCTGGAAAAAAGGGGGATTCACCTTAACGGCGCCTGCCGCTGCACCCCTTGCGTGCTCTGTCTTTTGGCCTAACGAAGGATGGCGGCCAGGGGTTTGAGTGGGCCTGCAAAAAAAGCAAAAAAGGGGGGAACCAGAGGCGTAGAAGGGAGGACGCCACCGTCGTTGGCTTCAACAAAATCGATTCCATTTCGACAAATGGGAGAGAAGAAGGCAACAAAAAAACAGCCGAAAAAAGCAAAGAAAGCGAACTGCAGACGGGGAAGAACTGAATGAACGGCCTGCACTTGACTACAGATGAGCGGGAAGATATGTACTATATATCAGTGCATTGATATATGCAGTAAATATATATATACATATATAGAGACTGATGTGCTGCGGGGTATATAGCGGATGGAATAAATTATTGCTCCGGATTTCTTCAATAATATTGTGGCAAACGAATTACATTGCCATGCATTCTCTTAAATTATTATTTTATTTTTTTTACATTAAGTATAGTTTTGAGAGAAGAAAGAAGGAATTTACAAAGGAAATTTCTTGAATTATTGAGAAAATTCATTAAGAATTTTTTTATAATAATTCGTATTTCAATAACTTAAAAAAAAAAAAACAAACTAAAAAACCCTAAATTAATTGCACTTTTAACAATTGTTAAATATTTTTCTTACATCATTAGTATGTTCATCCTACTCCTTGTTCCACTGTATCTTCTGCACAGTGGGCCGCTTTCAATGTTCGTCACGCATTGCTCATTTTGGGGGTAAATTAAAGAGTTGAGTGGGATACTTGTTCCCATGCTACCCACACTCTTTTACACTTCAAAGGCTTCTTTTTTGTGCGTGATATCCTTGTGCCTTGCACAGCCCGTTGGAGGTAAGACGCAAAAGGTACTGCTGGTACCTGACAAAATAAAGCGGGTAAAAAGCAAGCACACACACAGACACACACACATACACCCGCACACTCCCGGACAGAGTTTTGCATCTTTTATTTATTATGTTTGGCAAATTTCATTGCATATTAAAAATGCAATTTTCCAGAAGAAGAAGAGAGCTTTGGCATCGCCTTCCTGCCATCCGGCCATTTATCCTTTTGCCATCCTGTCCAAAGCTCCTTTCACCGCAAGCTTTAAGTTTTTAGGTTCTCCGGCTGGCTTTTGTCAATTGTCTTAAACATTTTAATTGCTTTACGTTTGTCGTTTGTTGTCAGGGCAAAAAATAATAAACAAGAGAAAGGCGTAACACACACAAAATCCTTTCCTGGCAAGTATGAGGTTCCGTGCTGTTGTTTGTGTGTCCTGTTTGTGTGTGTGGGTGCGGTTTGTCGAGTGGCTGGCAGCCGTAGATTTTAACCCTTAAATAATAATCGTTTGGTAATCGCATTCCTTTTTTTTTGTTTTCTTTTATTTAGGGGATTTTCATGCATTTTATTTAGCAAAGGAGAAGTGGCATTTTTTAAGCCATCACCACATCAGCACACATC